GGGTGGCTGGTAGAAGGAAAGGGGTTTCTCTTGAAGCTCCCTCGAGAGGTTAATACCAGGTTCTTATACACACCCTGCTCCAGGATGTTCATATAAACTTCCAAAGTCAGGGTCCCTCTCCCAGAATGAGTAGTCAGAACAGTTTCCCACCTAGGATCAAACTGGACAGTTGCCACTGAGTCCTAAGAGCTGGGTTCTTTGCTTGGTGCGAAGGAGTTCGGGGAGAGAAGAGAGGCCTCTGCCAATCTGGCAGGGGCACAGGCTCCACCCTAGAGGAGCCCCAGGACCGTGATTGAGGCAGGTTGTCCCTCCAATATCACCATGCATGGGGCATCTGGGCAGAGTCGTAGACATGAGGGACAAGCAAGATGGCAGAGCAGAGGGGGAAATAGGAGGCCTGGAGGTCTGCGGGGGGCAAGGCTTGGGGTGGCCTGTGAGAGGGCGCAGAGTGGGCGGAGGAGTATGGCTCAGACACGCTACGGATATGCTCCCCGGGATCAGGGTCTGAGTGCAGTCCCAAGGGGTGGAAGTCCTCCCTGCTATCTGCCCTCAAGGCTTCTTGCTGTACTGCCCTGGGTCTTGGAGGGCTCACCTGAGGTTGCTGGGGGAAAGGTAAGGTCAGCTTCCCTCCCACTCTCAGGACCCTACTCCTCCTCCTGCCTCCACACACAGAGTCTGGTTGGGAGAGCGTAGACAGGGCTGGGGGGAACGGGAAAAGGCATAACATCATTGAAGACTGGGACGGATGTGTCTGGATAGGGAAGGGGCAAAGCAAAGCTGATGCTTTGTCATGACAGTTTCAGTGATAATTTCCTGGTAGAGTACCAAGAGGGAATCAAGGAGAGAGAGGGGCTAGAGCCAGGGAGGTTATTAAGGAAGCTGCCATGGCAGCCAGGCTGATGGCCAATCAGGGGACAGGTTTGGGAGGACACCTGGACCTGAGAGAAGTTATGGGGACAAACTTGGGATGGGAGAGGGCCAGGCAGGATGCAGAGGAGAAGAGAGAGAGGCAGGGCCACAGGCGGCAGGGGTGAGGTGCGGGGGTAGAGAGAAGCTGGTGTCTTTGGCTGAAAGAGAGAAGTTGCTGAGGAGGGGAGAAAAGACTCTCTGGGGGAAGACTGAGCTCAGCAGCTCAATTCACATTTACTGAATCCAACTGAAGGCAGGCCATCTGCTTGGCAAGAGCTCATGGCCTCAGGGGCTGTGGGCACAGAGACCCCAGCTCAGGTGATGCCCGGCCTGTTGGAACACCAGCCTAACTTGCTTGGTCATTCTTCCTCCTTCCCAAACTCCAGACGGATGGCAGGAGATGACCTGGGCCAGAATCTCAGAAAAAAACACGGTGAAGGGCTAGGACAAGGTTCAGGAGCCAAGCTGAGGACAGAACAGAGAAAAGTAGGGAGTGGGAGGACCATGACGACAAAGACGCTTTCCCAAGTTTTCTGCCATGGGAACTGTTGTTGCAGAACGACCATGATGGTCCTACCGAGTCTCACCTTTCTAGAGGCCTGAAGTGCTCACTTGGCCCTCTTTACACACAGGCTCCATTGCAGGCCCTTTGTAGGTATCAACTTTCCATCCTCAGCTGCTAGGAGCTCCATGGTGAGGATGAGGAGACTTGTATAGATTCTCAGTGTAAGCCAGGATTCAAACCCAGGAATCTGACTCCAAGGCTGTGCTCTCAACCATGGTGCCCACTGCCTCCTGGTGTAGGAAGGAGCCCCGGGATGATGATAGGGCATTGTGCCAGCCCCCCAGGAGAGGCCCCTGACATTGCCACAATAATACCTCTACCTCTGAGCTTCCCAACTCTTCTTGGAAGCATTAATTATCAGCTTTTTTTGTTTGGGGGTTGGTTTGGTTTTGCTCTCCCTTTCCTCCCCAGTCTTCAGTGCAAACGTCCTTCCTTTCATGAAATGTGCTTCCCCAAAATCCAACCTAAGTGCTCCCAGCTGCAGCTTTGCCCTTTCTCCAGGTCTTCTGCCATCGGAACAGCTGCAGAATAGCCATGATGGCCCTTCCGTGTTGCACCTTTTTTGGAGGCCTGATGTGCTCATTCAGCCCTCTCGAGGCCTTGCCTTCTCCAACCTCGTCCTCCAGGCCACATAGCTCCGTCCTTACTTCTCTCCCACATTCCAGAGCCAGCCCCTCCCTTCCCCCCACCACCTCAAATCCAGGCTCCAAGCTGGCAGACACCCACGGGAGGGTTTTTCCCACAATTCCTCTCTCTTTGCCCTTTCAAGGTTCTAATGGGGGAGGGGAGGAAGAGGGGCCACCCAGGATGCAGTCTCTCCATGAAGAAAGGAGGTAACATGCAGATTAAACTCAGATGGAGGAAGAAAGGCATTAAACTCAGCTTGCAGGAGACAGAGGTCATGTGGTAATCTCAGAAGGCTCCCATTCCCTGGAGCTGCCCCGCCAGCCACCTTCATTGGGTGCTAAAACACTTAGATTCCAAATCTCTCTTTTCTCTCCAATCTGTCTACAGCTTCATCTCAACGATGTGCCTTGGAGTATCCCTTCTCTCCACCCCCTTCCAGGGCCCCATGCTCTCCTGGACAGCTTGGCCTCGGCCTGGACAGTAGCACTGACCAGTCAGGCAAGAGAAGAATCTAGGCCGAGAAAGGGAGGGAGAGTGGAGGTTTTTTCTTCCGTCCTAAATAACCTTTGGCAGGAAAATTTAGGATCTCCATTGCCCGATGTCTCTTTCCCCGCCCACACCTCCCCCCCACACCCCCAACGATGCCAGGAGGCTCGGCCTAACTTTCCAGCTTGTGTACAGAAACCAAGTATTTTGTGGAGACTGGGAAGCCTCCTTTGAGGAAATGGGTCTTCCTGCATGACCCACCTCTAGAACCCTAAACCCCATATCCCACCAATCACAGGATGACTTCAGAGGGCTTCATGGGAGCCTACCCAGCTCCAAGTGTCCCAGCCTCTCTGGTCCCTAGGGAAAGGAGGTCCTTGGATCTTCTGCTGATCACTCCCTTGTAGCTCAAGCCACCAAAGCTTATGCAAATGAGCTCATGCACAGGGTGCAACTGGGGGGTCCCAGGGCACAGTTCAGTGCGGAGCACGGAGGTGGGGAATGCCAGTGGGCAGATAACGAATCCTCCCATACAAGCATACACACCCATAGACTGGATGTGGGCCAGATGTTGGGGAGACAGATTTATTTCCCTCAGGGTAAGGGGCAGCAGTAGGACTTTGCACCAGAGCCACAGGAGGCATGGGACCATAACCCTGCCCCCACCACCACCACTCCCACCCCCCCACCTCACCCCCAGTTGGTGGAGTCATTGCCATTTGATATCCGCTGAGACAACTTGGCTGCTCCAGCTCTGGGTGGGGGGTGGGGGATGGCTCAGAAAACAGCAGCTCCTTTCAGGACCCAGGTTGGCAAGGGCTTTGGGAGGCTGGACCGGCCCAGATCACCACCCAACACCTCCTCCTTCCCTCCCTCCCTCACCACCACCACCAAAGGACTGGGGGAGGCGGGTGGCGGGGGGGAGGAGTTGGCACTGCCCAGGCCATGCCTACTGCCTGCACAATCCAGCCCTGGACCCTCTCCCTGGCACGATGCCTTCCTGCTCCCCTGTTCCCCCATTTCCTACTTCCTGAAGAACCAGCCGTGAGCCAGGATACCTGGTTCCTCCTAGACTTGGCCCCCCCATGCCCAGTCCACCCTGAGGAATTAACCAGCCCTACCACTCAGACAGAATGGTACCCACCATCATATTCAGAAATTCTCGGAGATTAGAGAAAGTTTTCAGGATGAAGCAAGTTGAACTCAGTGGTGCTGCTGGCCCCACCTGAGGTTGGTTTCCTGATACCAACCTCCAGGCCCTTCTCAGCACCCCAGAACAAGGATACCTCTCACATGGGAGCCCCCAATCATCCACCATCATCTCCCTCCCATCCACACCGCCCAAAGTAGTCCCAGTCGGGAGAAAAATTTAAACCCCACAGCAAGAGCAGACTGGCCAGAAATCTTTAGTCGAAATTTGTACTGATGAGCAACATAATCAGACTTTAAGCTCCTCTGGTCTCCTCTGAGTCCAAGTTTGTACCAATTTTTCACCATTTCCACTTCCCCATCTGCCTCACCCTGCCTGGGGTGAGGATTACCTCAGTGAAACCTCAAGACACCAGAGACCCTCCCCACTTGTTCCCAGCGTCGTCCTTCTACCCACACCTGGATTTCACTCTTCTCCCCAAATCAGAAGTTTCAGCCTTCATCGCTTTCCTAACACAGGTGCTCTGGGTGAGTTCCCAATGCTGAGAGGGCTGGAATGGGAAGAGGCATCTCTGTCTGGAGGAGGAAGCTGGAAAACCATCTGCCCTTTTCACTCCGGCAGAAGTGACCCTGCTCCTGTCCTCCTGTGGATCTCGGTGTGAAACAGCTGGAGTGAGGTGTGGGGTCATGGAGAGGGGTGTCTTGAAATGGGAGCCAAGTCAGAATGGAAGAGTTTGGGTGGACAGGGGTCCCAAGCACACAGGCCGCTGCGTCTTCTACTCTAAGCTGCGAGTGTCTGTTTTTCTCCCCATGTGTGAACTAGTGATCAGTGGGTGCCACTATGTGATTGTCACTGTGTGGGGGGAGGAGCTGGGCATGGGGAGTAACCTGTGGATACTGGGAGAGGGGACTCTGCCTGGTGTGTCTATGGGGGTTGGGGGGGTGCGTGGTTATGGTGGTGATCACAGTATTCACTGGAGGAGCGGGGATGCAACTGCAGGTCTGCCCACCGGGAGGGGGCATCAGGAAAGCCCCTTCCTTCGCTTAGAGGGCAGAGGCGGCCGGCCTGGGTGGAGGTCTCTTCGTGGACAGCCCTTCCCAGCAGGCTCCGTTTGAGACCACCCCCGGCAGGCGGCCGGGGAACTGGACCCTACGGCTGAGGCCAGCCAGGGCCTGAAGCGCTGGGCTCCAATGACCCTGGAGAGGTGGGAGGACAGAACCCGGCCGGGGCGGCAGCACTCCTTCATCGGGGCCAGGGTCTTACCTTGGGTCCGAGGTGGAGTAGCCCCTCGGGTGGGCCGCGGGGCAGCGGGGCAGATGGACGGACGGGGTGGGCAGGAGTGAGGAGCAGAGCCGCGCGACGGGCAGGGCCAGGACTCTTAAACCCGGAGCTGGGATCAGATAAGGGCTTGTCCGGGGGCCGGGGCCGGGGTCGGGCCGGCCGGGGGCAGAGCTGGGCTGGGCCGGGCCGCCCCCTCCCTCCGCAGCGCCGGAGCCAAACTTTGTGTGAATGGAGGGGCGGGAGGGGGCCGGGCGGGCGGGGCGGCGGGGCTCGGGGCCGGCCAATGGGAGAGCGGAGCGCCAGGCTCGGGCGGTCGGGATTGGAGGGCCCGGGCAGGGGGCGGGGCGTAGGGCGAGGAAGCGGAGACCCAGACAGATGGAGGCGCAGAGAGAAATGCCCAAAGACAGAGACCCAGACAGACCCGGGAGAAAGGGAGATGCAGAGGCGATACGCGAAGCGATAGCAGTCGAGCTGGCAGGGTGACAGGGGAAGGGAGACGGGGTAAAGGGAGGCGGTGGGTCAGAGCCGGGCGGCGAGAGCGGGAGCCGCGGGGGCGGGCCCGGCGGAGTTAATGAAGTGGAAATGCACTGGGGACCTGCCAGAGGCCTGCGGCGGCGCGGAGGGCGGCGCCCGGGAGCCGGCTGGGGAGGACCAGGCCTGGGCTGCCGGGGCTGCGGCGCTGTATCCTTCGGCACAGTTCCCGTGCTGTGCCCGGTGTCCTAAGCACCGGGTGCGGTGCTGTGTGCGAAATGCGCGGAGCATCCTTCCAGCCTGCAGCGCCTTCGTCCTGAAGGAAAGACAAGCGCAGTGCGGGAGGTGCTGAAAGGCCACCCACCCAGGGGGCTCCTGGCAGGAGCGGGAGGAAGGGCGTGGTTAGGGTCCCAAGAGATGCGCAGGATTCAGGGACTAGGAGATGGTGGGAGGACATGCGAGGCAGAGGCAACAACATCGCAAAGTCCGGGGGCGGGGGTGGGGGGGGGTGGGCGTGGAAATACAAAGAACTTGGAAAACAGCACCTAACTGCCCCATTTACTAGAGAGCAGGGCGCTGGTTCTCAAGCCTTTCGTCACCAAGGACTTCTCTCGTTACCCGAACCTGTGTTTGGAGGTTTGGTTTGTTTTGTTTTTTAGAGAGGAGGTCTCAAACTCCTAGGCTCAAGCAATCCTCCCACCCTGGCCTCTCAAAGTGCTGGGATTATAGACATGAGCCACCACGCCTGGCCTTGGGAGAGTTTTATCCACAATCTGCCACTTAGAACTTATTAAGTAAGAAAATTATTTCCCCATTTTTGTTCACAGACATTTACTAATCAATAACCTGTGTTGCCATATGAAGTTGATATCAATCCAGAAAAAAGGAACTAGGAACGGAGCTTAGTCTAACCTCTAAAGGTGTGAATGTACACGTCAAATAGCCCTTGTGGGAGAGGGGGAGAACTAGGCTAAAGGTTAGGCATCACAGACAGTGTGTTTGTGTTGAAGAAGAAACAGAGGGCCATGCCAGCTCATAGTCAGGCCCAGTCTGTAGACAATGGAGAGCAATGGAAGGTTCTTGAGTGGGGGGAGACGAACCCATAGCAGAATTTTAGAAACATTAGTCTGGAGGTGACCGAAATGGTTTGAAACAAACAGACATAGTAGGCAAGTAGACCAGATGGAAAGTAACTGCAATAATGTAGTCATGAAAAGATGGGAGTCCAAATCATTGCGGCAATGGTGAAAAGTGGAAGAGAGAAAATGAATTCAAGGACTGAGAAATACCAAGAAAATGAAAAGACTTTGAGGCCCACTTGACATGATGAACAAAGAGGGAGGCTTCAGAGGTCAAGCCAGGGTGTCAAGCCAAGTGATCAGGAGAACTGTGAAGTCATACATGGGCATAGGGAAGCCCAGGGGAGGAGCCCACCTGGCGAAGAGACTGCCGTGGGGCAAGAGGAGGTGATAAGTTCAGAGCTGGGCAGTGCGCAGAGGGGTCAGAGCTGGGGAGAAAAGGAGGCTGTTGCTGCTGATCTGGGTGAGTTGAAGCCATTAGAGCAAGCTAGCTCTCAATGAAGACTGTGCAGAGAAAAGAGAGCCTGGCACAGAAAGTGAGCAGGGTAGGGAGGAGAAAGAGCCCCAAAGAGTGGCAGAGAACCCACCAGACAGGCAGGAAGAAGACAAAGAGGGTGTATGCCACAAGAGCTGAGAAAGGAGACTATTAAGGAAGAGGCTCTAATGGTGCCAGGGAGGAGGCATTGGTTGTGGCAGTGAGACATAGTCACTGTGACATTTGAGAGTAGTTTCAGAGGTGTGATCAAGGTAGGAACCAGATTCCAAGGGGTTACCATGAAAAGGTGAGAAGCTGTTAGCAAGAGTCATATAGGTTACATGTTTGAGGACTTGACTCAGAGAGGAGAGAAACCCAACAGAAGGCAGAACAGTGTGCTAGAAATGATCTCTTGGCTTTTCTCTTCATGCTCCTGGTGCCCTTGTTCCTAAGTCAATAGGGGTGAGGCGATGTGGCAAGACAACCCAAGCACCAGCCTGCAAGGCTGATGGACAAGCTTTAAGGCACTAGGACTGGGGCATCCAAAAGATCCTTGAGGACATTTAGAGCTAGAGAGCACTTGGAAGCTCTGATAACACTCCAGAATAAACGTGAAGGATACCAGAGACAAAAAACCAAAGGAGCCGTCATGACTTATGGAATTATTAACAGACATTTATTGTGCGCTTATTTTTTTCCAAAAATGTGATCCAAATATTTAGCTTCAACTACCACCCACGTGTCAGAACCTCCAGCCACCGAGATGTCCATTTCAAACTCAGCATATTTAAAGTAGGCCACGTCATTCTGCTTACAAGAGTGCTCCTCTTCGTTGACTCTCTACCATGGTGAATGCACTACCATCACCAACCAACAACAAGGCAACTGCCCAAGTCCTTCATCCTCCTTCACCTCGTCTCCTTCATCTAATCAGTGCATCTACTGTCTAGGCCACATCAACACTGTTCTCTTCCTTTCTATCCTGTTGTCACTGCTGTGGTCCAGGACACCATTCCCTCTTACCAGGGATACTGCAGTGGTCTTCTATTTGGTCCAGTTTTCCTCCATTCTTCCTCTACTTTAATAATTTATTTATTTAAAAATAATTGACTGGGCATGGTGGCTCACACCTATACTCCCAGCACTCTGGGGGGCTAAGGCAGGAAGCCTGCTTGAGCCCAGGAGTTCGAGACCAGCCTGGACGACATAGGGAGAACTTGTCTCTACAAAAACAGCAAAAATGCAAAAATTTAAGTAATTAAACACCAATAATGTACTTCCTTCTGAAACAGAAATCTGACCATGTCATTTCCCAGTTCAAAAACCCTCCATAACTACCAACTGCCTATAAGCCAAGTCCAAGCTCCTTACCCCAGAATGAAGGCCCACTATAACCTTGACTGGTGCCATCCCCCCCTCTTCTTCTACTGCCCCTACGCACCCAAACTACAGCTACTTCCATTATACTCCAGGTTCAGTCGTGTGTTCTCTTTCTGTATCCTGCCCCATGAGCCGTTGTCACTGACATGGGTCCCACTATTGTCTCTGCGTGATGCTCGGATCTCTATTTCAGTCCTACATTCTCTCAGGAGCTAGTTCTAGTTGTCTGTGGGGGATTTCCACCCCAACTGGACAGGCCCCAGCTGAACTCAGCATCTTCCTTCCCAGGGCTGGGGTACTCATGACTTCCTTATTTTTGTGTTACTCCTGGTCAGTCATACTACAAAACTGAAAATGATCTTTTCTCTTCCACCAGTGCCCTATGCCTCATTCCTGTACATGTCAATGAAGCTACTCTGTCACGTGTCCCTTTGCTATATCTGTCTAAGATGTCCTCTTTCATTCCCAAGATCAGGAAGATCAGTACAGCACAGAACCTGACCCACCTTCACCCTTCTCTCCAGTCTCTAAGGAAGAGACAACCTGTCTTCATCAAGCCGGTCCCCATGCTCTTGTTTTAAAACCCTAAACAGGTGCCCCTTGTTCACAGGCCACAGTCCAAACTCCTCTGCTCAACACTTAGGGCACACTTCTGAGAGGAGGGCAGAGAGAATCGGAGGGCGGGAGCACAGAGAGCTTGTGGTGAAGGAGGAAGTCTCTGGAGAAGTTCCTTCCAAATGGTCGCTACTTCTCCATCTACTAAAATCCAGAGTGGGGATGGGGTGGGGTAAGACTGGACAATTAGTTTCAAGTCATAGAACAGCAAGGGGGCAAGACTTTGTACACAGGTAGCTTCAACAGCCCTGTAATGTTCTAAGAGAATGACTTAAACTGACTTTTTGTTCTTAAATTATGCTTTATAATATATATGCTTAAATTATGTTTTATAGTATTATATACATATATGTATATCATATATACATATATCATCTATTTTTTTTCTGAGACAGGATCTCACTCTGTCACCAAGGCTAGGATGCAGTGGCTCAATCATAGTTTACTGCAGCCTCAAACTCTTGAACTCAAGTGATCCTCCCAGCTCAGCCTCCCAAGTAGCTGGGACTACTGTACAGGGGCATGCCACCACACCCAGCTAATATTTTATGTTATGTTTTGTGGAGATGAAGGTCTTGCTATGTGGCCCAGGCTGGTCTTGAGCTCCTAACCTCAAGCTATCCTCCTACCTTAGTCTCCCAAAGCACTGGGAATACAGTTGAGAGCCACCATGCCTGGCCAACATCTACATTCTTTTGCACATATCAAACATCAGCTTTTACATTTAATTTTTTTTCTCCAAAAGAGTTCTAGAACAGCCACCATGAGCCCAGTAGGCAATCAGTAATAAGGGGCATATGGGCATAAGAAATTCGTGTTTGTGCTTACTATGCAAAATAGATTTTCAGATGGGGAAACTGAGGTTCAGAGAGGACAAGTGGCTTGCCTATAACACAGCTAGAAAGTGTTAGATTTGGGATTTGAATCCACATATATTTGACCCCAAGTCTTGTCTCAGGATGATACGAGAGGGAACTTGCATGATTTAAAAATAATCTTGTCAACTAGAGGCTATGACCCCAGAGCGCATATTGGCATGGAAGTTTCCCAGAGTTACAATGTCCAATGTCCACCAAACACCATGACGTCTAGGGGGCTCCTCTTTCGTTGAGGACCCCCCTCTCTTCTCTCGGTTTAGCACTGTGTGTTTTCCTCATGCACCTCAATTTCTCCTTCCAGACTCACTCCTTCTAGCTTTGGCCTCATCTCTTCTTTTGCCCCGTTCATAGTAGGCAGGGGTTCCGTAGAGCAGAGGAGAGGTGAGTGAGTAAACTGCATAAGTGGGCAGCATTAGGAGGGGCTTTTGCTGGGGAATGCAGGTGTGGGAAGAACAGAGACACTGACACGGCTCACCACAGGGCACCAAGTGGCATTTTAGTGGCATTTCAGGTCCCACAGAGACACCCAAAAGA